AAACAGCAACTTTGGAAGAAGGGAACATTCATTCTTACCTATATATTCTTTATATATTAGATATATAAAATTCTCGTGTAACAGGATGCAGCGGAAATAACCCACATCTCTCTTCGGCTCTAATTCTTCAAGTGAAATTTGAGCAACAATCTCCTTCAGTACCTCTCCGACTTCATGCAGTATATGAGCGTCTATAGCTATTTGCGGATCCAAGAGCTACAATACGAAATGTGCTTCAAGCAAGCATACTCGCTTAACTTACTATTGGTGGTACCTCCACTGGTACCTCCACAGTTGGATCATCGATGACTTTGAGGGCCAAGTCAAGCACAGGCAATTCCCGATGTTTTATAGCAACTTTCTCAGCAATCTTTGCATCCCTAATAGCTTGTTTCTCCTTGGCAAGTCGACCTCTGAACTTCTTGTGTGGGCGACCTGCTTTCTGAAAGAAACGACATAGCAGGGACCAAAAATGCTAAATTCAGAACTTGCTTTTCTCTCCCTCGAAGAATCGTTCACATCGCTTTGTTCAAGAAAACCGTTGGTTGCAAGTGAAGGAGCCGATGCTATCAGCTCGCGTATACTGGCCTCAAGCGTATCATCGGTTGAAACCACATCAACATATACGTTCTCTTCATCCTCCTCCTCCTGCTTGCGCAGACGATTCCGAAGAAAAATCTGAAGTCCGACATCAACATGTTTCGATTTCAACGCTAGGAAGACGTGCCGTGCGACAACGCATATCGAAGCAACAGAGCCCTAACTTCAAAACCGTACCTGGAGCTTCTCTTCTGACCAAAGCGGAATGCGGTGAGGCACGACCTCGCCTACAGGACAATGTCGAGCCAAAAATCTTGGTCGCCTCTTAGATGACGAAAGTTAATGTAAGAAAAGAAACGCCATTTTGAACACCGTACCTGGGATCTAGATCTTGGTGCAGAACCTCCAGCTGCTGCTTCTGATTTAGATCGCCTCGCGCGCCTGTTCGAAATGTTGTCATTTTTCTGAAATATAAAATTTTTGAAGGAAGATGGGTATAGGATAAAACATCAGACCTTAGCCAGTCTACTCTGTCGACCCTCCGCGACCTGAAACAAGAGATTTAGGTAAAGCAAACTGAGGTCTAGTAGCATACTAGGACGAGATCATCATCTTCTTCACTCCGAACCAGCTCTTTCCGTCTGCTTCTGGCCTTAACATATGTCGACTCCTGCAAGTTTGTTCAATGCTTCACTAAACAGAGTACAGGCAACCTTCACTTACCAAGTCGCGAGCGTCTGTCCTTATTACTTCTTCCTGCGGTCTACTCCAAGGACTGATCGGTGCTTGTACTCTTTTCCACTGATCTCCTCGTCTTACAAGCTTCTTCTCATCACTCCTGCCCATCGAATGCATCGCGTACACTCCACCAGCCGTAGGCTCCCTAGGTCTCGTTTCCATGCTGGTCTTGTCGTCCAATACTCTTAACAAAATCGTGCCATCCGGGAGTTTGATACCTCTCCGCAATCTTCCCTTTTCATCTCTGAGTAAGACGGTTCGCTTCTGATTTTTGGCATCAGATGCGGATGGTGCAGAGTTCTGGTCCGATTCATGGCCCCTGTTCTGACTAGAAACGCCCAGCAAAGGATGCTTATCTCGGGACCGCGAGATGTGAACATCTGCTATGTTATTCTGACCGATAGAAACGGGAGCATCGTTGCTGTCATCGTCAACTTGGATATAAGGCTCCTCATCAACGTCAGCATGCTGCGAGTCCAGCACTTCCGGTCTCCCACTAGAAGCACTTCTCCTATAAGCTGAAGCTGCTGGCTGAGCAGTCCGTCCAGAAGAATGACTTCTCGGGTATATGTGCTCGTTCCTATTTACACCATTTTGCAACGATGCTACGTGCCCTGTCACTGATCCCGACATTCGGGGTGCGCCGACGCTAGCCACGGTCCTAAGGAGAGGTGCTCTTCCCGGCAATGTACTGCTTGGTACATGATGCTGCTGCGCCATGGAAGCGGCCGAATTGTAGTTGTATCGAGGACCTTGGTCTATCCTGGAAATTCGCGCTCCTTGGGGTCGGACAATAGCTTGAGCAGTAGCGTAATTCGCGGCTCCCCTTCTGGCTGAATCGGCCATTTCACGAAGAGAATGTACGGGACGATGAACATATCTAAAAAAA